TCTTCATCTAGGAGGCTGAGAAGAAGCTCCACTCTCCTCATGTTGCGCCTGCAGCTCTCACTGCGGTCCCGGAGCATCCCCACGGCGCTCTGCACACAGCTCCTCAGCAGGCTGGTGGTGTCCAGGATCTGCACCTGTCCATGCAGACAGCCACGTTGTCTATTCCTGCACTTCCATGGTGGGTAAAAGCCAAGCTACCCAAACTAGCATCCCGAGACCCACAGGGGTGTCCATGCAGCATGCAATAAGCACGGGATGGTCTTCATGGACAAGAGCTACACTGCTGACCTCCCTCTGGCTGGTGCCGATGGCCCTGCTAACCCCCTGCTGGCAGACGGCCGCTCCCATTGGGGAGGAGAGGTGCCAGCCCAGCCTGCAGAGTGGCGTCAACTCCTCCCACTCTAGTGGAGAGTATGAAGATGGAGCTCCCAAGTGTCGCCCCATAGCATATGAGGATCCCAGAAACTAGAACTTACCTCACTGCCTCCCATCTCAGAGGTTTCATCCTGTACCCCCTGGGAACTTTCTGTCTCCATGTCTACCTCTGCTGTGTCCACCAGTTTGCTGGGCTCTGTTTCCATCACCTCCTCTGGGGCATCTCCTGCCCTGCATCCTATCACCACTGCAATCCGAGCAAACACAGTCAGGTCGCCGCCACTCCGAAGATGAGATGGGGAGCGCTGGCAGCACCAGCTAGGGGCTGCACTAGGCTCCAACTGTCCAGGCTTCCCAGCCCCCTGCTCTGTCATGGGTCCCCAGACAAGAGGATATTTGTCATGAAGATCAGCACCAAATCCACCCACTCAGCGCGTCCCCAGTGGCAGCCCTCCCGTCCGGCCTGGAACCAAGGCAGACAGAGCTGACACCTCCTGGAGGCACTCACTTTCAGGCCTGCCCTGCTCACAGGTCCACTTCCACACGCAGCCCTGTGCTCTAGAAGGCGGCCCCAGCCCATCCTACAGTTGTGTCCTGCGCTTCTGCTGTGGTGAGGGAAGCAGGGGGCCCGGCACCCTCCCTTGTGCCACCTTGTGACTCACACTTAGGCTCGTCCCCTGGCTTGAACAGCTGGCTGATGGTGACACTCTGTAGCTTGGTCACATCTGAAACCATGACGGTGGATCTCCGGAGGTCGTCAATGTGCACAGATTGCCACAGGCCTGTGAAGAGCAGAGTCGGTCGCAGCGTCAGCATGTCCTGACTTCATAACACCGATGCTGAACGAATGGTTAAGAGACTAGACCCTTGAAGGGATCGTATTTATACAACAAATCACCTGACCCATTTTTAAAATATCTCAGCAGCTTTAGCATAAAACCAATTTTAAGATCTGAAGTAACAGACATGGAAGGGTCTGTGATTCTTTTGCAAATGAATTCTTAGATTTGCTGAGTCATAACAGTGAATGGGGTAAGGCCCATCTTCCATTATCCATGAATTTATCAGACTACACTTATTTTCCTACTTCTGGAATACCAATTTTCTACACAATAAATAGTTGTTAATCACCTCTCAGAAGAAGGTACCATCTCCCACCCCCTGAAACAGGCATTCTTGATGGGTTAGTCTGGAAGGTCTCCGCTACATTATCCATATAACAATACGGGGACACCAGTAGGACTAATCAAGGGTTTATCTACAAGTAAATAAAGGAAATGCTAAATGTTGTAGCATCAAGTCCCAAGATTAGTGTTTTTTACAGTAACAGTGGTGAGAAATCTAACTGCATCTGAAAAGAAGACTACTGAAGGCTCGGCGCCTGGGGCTCAAGTGGCTAAGGTGCCAGCCACATACACCTAAGGTGGCGGGTTCAAATCCAGCCTGGGCCCGCCAAACAACAATGATGGCTGCAACAACAACAAAAAAGAGAATACGACTGAAACTAACATTAATATTCTCATTTCAGATGTGTCCAACACAGAACCAAAGGAGAAATGACTCTAACATTATTTACATAAATATAGTCATCACAATTCTGGTCCTACCTCCATGAAATCCCACATAGGACGCTCCACTTCCCATCCGGGACAGTTTTGTGATGAAATAGACTAAGACACAGCCCCCATTTCCTTCTATTTTGTTGATTTCATTTACAGCAGAATACCTGTTTTAAAAACAAAAACCAAAACAGAACAGCACATAAATCAAGTGGAGTTGTGCACCTGCTGAGGGTGCCCGTCCTGGGGCGGCTGGGTTCCGTCTCACGGCCTCCCACTCAACGGGCTTTAAATAGATCTCACACCCCCACGCGTGTGATTTCTTCTCTTCTGGGAGGATGAAAAGTCCTTTCTGAGCAGGCTCATTTTCTTCCCTGTTGCTGCGTTCCTCTGCTGTGAAGTCTAGAAACCGTCACCTGCTCCCTGTGGGCCTGCCTGATGCGGCGTTGGGTGAGGCTAGCCAAGCTTCCCCAAGTTTCCAAGAGTCCTGTGCACAACTCGACTCTCCTCAGATGGCCCTGGGCCAAGGCCAGTCCCCCACCAGAACACAGCCGTGAAATGAAGCACACATCCCATGCTTCAGCAGGGCCCAGAAACAGTCGACTCTAAAACTATCAGATTTCCTCTTACGAACACTATAAAAATGTCCGGTGAGGATGAATGAAAGCATTTATATACTGTTATTTCCCGTGAGCTGGCAATAATTTAGAAATGAATAGTTCAAAATGAACAATTACTAAAGCATTGCCGCGTTTGTGTGCTTGCACCCTGTTCATGTTCTATTATTTTACACTTCTCACATTTTTCACATTTCACTATTTTTGTATTTTTAGCCTTTTTCTTTTTGTCTCTCCTCAGTTCTGTAGTCCACATGGGGGAAACGAGGAGGAGAAAGAATTCTTCTCATCTTTATTTCTATATTTATTATGATACTATACTGTTTTCAGGGAAGAAATTCCTTAGGAGCTCCTGAATGAACTCTGGGTTTCCCGTGTAGTTTTCTGAGAACAATACTACAAGCATACCTCGCCGAAGCAATGAGCTGAGCACTGTGGACGCCGTCTTCAAAATCTGCCTGAATGATGAGGATTTTACATCTGGCTGTGCTAGTTAAGCAGTTTCTGAAGGAAAAGGAAATTATTCAAGTTAAGTTCTCTGTCCCCAAAATTGGATAACAGAATTCCCCAAAGTGATGGGAATATAATCCCATTTAGGGGAGATTTCCTTCTCTCAGGTGAACAGACTAGTTAGTAGAGAAAGTTTTAAAAACCCAATAGCTGCTTCTAACTGAGATATAATAAGGACCAGTTTCAGAGAGGACGTCATGGCAGGTGCTGGCTGCAGAGCACACACAATGAGGGGGACACTCGGGGAATCTGACGATGAGCTCGCCACAGCCACATGTCCCCAGGGCTCACAAACGAAGCTGGTGTTAGAGCCCCAGAGATGACACAAACCTCGGCCAGGGCTCAGTGGGAGGGAAGGCAGGGCCCCCTTACCGGACTTCTTTGAGGAAGGAGTACTCGGTGTCAAAATGTTGCAGCCACAGGATGGTGGGTTTCTGAGCCCTGCCTGTTACCTCTGATTCTAAAGTTTGACAGTCGTGACTTGTCAGCAGTCTGGAGAAAGTAGTGATCTATGGAGTTAGGAAATGCAAATTATTTGCCTGAATTCAAGCAGGTTTAGATCCTAGAGACTGAGCGGTGTCCAGCCACTGAGCCACCATCTTCCATGGGCTCGAGTGCGCAGCTGGGACACAGAGAAGAGCCCCAACCCTCAGAGTTTTCAGAACAAGGCAGTGCTGAGGTAGGCGGAACCTATGGTATCAAAAAGGATCAGAGAGAACTTTCGCTCTGCCCCAAAGGTGGCTTAGTCTCCTTCCTAGATGGCAGTGTCTCCTCCTATTTTGGTCCCTCCTTGAGACCCTTATGATCTTTTAGGCTCCCTGATCTAGCTTCCTGCTTCCTAAGGCAGTTAGCAGTTGGTGCCTCCTTCCCCAGCTGTTAGCAATTCTCGTCTACCATGGCTCACACCCCACAGGGCAACCCAAGGGCTCCATAAGAATGGTGCTGCTGGCGCCTGTGGCTCAAGCTGCTAAGGCGCCAGCCACATACACCTAAGGTGGCGGGTTCAAATCCCCAGCCCGGACCCGCCAAACAACAATGATGGCTGCAACCAAAAAAATGGCCAGGCATTGTGGCGGGCCCCTATAGTCCCAGCTACTTGGGAGGCTGAGGCAGGAGACTCGCTTGAGCCCAGGAGTTGGAGGTTGCTGTGAGCTGTAATGCCACGGCACTCTACCCAGGGGGACAGCTTGAGGCTCCGTCTCAAAAAAAAAAAAAAAAAAAGAATCCAAGAATGTGCTGCTGGCTCGGCTCACAACCGCCAGCTCCAAGCCTAGCCCTACCACTGAACTTGATTCCCACATCCAACTGCATGACAAACACCAAAACCTATCTCACACAGAGTTTGCCATTGGCTGCCCCAAATTTGTTGCTCATTTCTGGACTCTTCTATCACAGTGAGGCCGACCTCCAGCCATCTAAGGAGGGATCCAGGGAGTCACCCCTCAATGCCTCTCTGTTGGGTGTCATCAGCTCTGTGAATTTGCATCTTACTTCTCAGTTCCATCCGCTCCTATCTCCTGTGCTATTCCAGCAGCCTCCCTATTGGTCTGTCCTTCCTACAACAGTCTTTAATCAGATTCTTTCTCTATTGCTCAGGAGAGGGACATGACTAAACACACACTCCTCTGTCAGTCACTCCCCTCTGCACAGTAAAGACAGAATTCTGAGGTGCCACCGGCAAGGCCCTCCATGAGTTCTGTCTCGGCACTCTAGCCCTGAACTCTAAGCTCTGCCAGTGGTCCACTGTGGTCTCCTGCACAGATGGTGCCGTCTCACACCTGGCCCACAGAAGCCCTCCGCCTACAGTCCCTGCTCTCCTAGAGAAAATCTCATCTGACACCGTGTCCTGATCTGTGCTGCCTCCTCTCCCTCTAAGCACAGCAGTGTTGATGGCGCCTGTTCATCTGTCTGCGTCCCCACGTAGCACGTGGACAAGACCAAGAATAACTGGGGCCTGAACTCCATGCCCCATAATGGTCTTGGCAAGAGATTCAAGGACAAGACCAAGAATAACTAGGGCAGTGCTCAGAGCTGCTTCCTCTGCTGAGGTGAGTGTTGCACATGTATACGGTGCTGCTGTCAGCACAGAACACTGCACGGAAACAGATGCTCGAAACTTGGTCATACTGAACTCACGTAAATATTCAGTCCTCCTTGTACTTAATGTGGAGAAGAACCAAAAAGTCTCATCCTACCCACTTATGATCCCTCTGCACCAACAGAAAAAGAATCTTGAATCCTGACACTAGGGATCGAGACCTCGGGTCAAATAGGATAGGGTGAAATTGTAGAACAACAGTCACCTCTGTGAAGATGGCACGGCGCTCCAGGTCCATCCTGCGGAGGTGAGTCTGGAGGAGATCTGCGAAGGAGTCATGCTGCTGTGCGTAGTAGTATTCCCGTGACAGCGACTGCGCAGCGAACAAGCCCAGCGAAGAGGTGCTCAGCCGGACCACGGCGTCAGGAGTGGCACAGTCCAGCAGGGTCAACTTGGCCTCCTCGGACACCTTCTGGTAAAGCTCCTCAGTCAGGTCCCTGGGACCCTGCCGATCCGTGACCTGCAGCACCACAGAGGCGCAGGTGTCAGAGTGGTAGCCGATGAAGACGTCAGAAGGGCTGTACTTGTGTCGGCTGAAGAACGGCTCTGCATTCACGTGGACGAACTTCTCCACCCACTTCTGGAGCTCTTCCACGATGCTCTTTTGCCACTTCTCCAGCACCGTGTTGAGGTCCAGATAGTGCTTCTCCAGCCGGTTGATGAGGGGGATGGGGAAGTGTCTGTACACAACGTCTTTCTCTTCAATGACTATCAAGCGGAAGTCTGGATGAACTCGACATTTGACACGATGGGTCCCCAGACCGAGGTCCACGTACTTCTGGCCCCCGAGGTAGACGTAGTACTGGTTGAGCGCGTCGTAGAGGCTCTCGTAGAGGTTCTGCAGGTTGAGCAGCACCACCATCTTGCCTGTTTCCATGCAGATTTTCACTCGGTTGATATTTCTGCAGATCTGGGTATACTCTTGGTCCTTAGGAAAACTGGAACCAAAAATAATCTCTGGCTGCTGGTCTGCACTGAAGAACGTCTGCTGCAGGATCTGCAGGGCCACGTAGTTCTTGGTCAGCACGAGTAAGTAGCGGGACTCAGCATCTTCCAGCTCTCTGCCCGGCACCCTCTGCAGAGCCCCGTAAATGTTCTGCTTGATCAACTGCATGGTGCTGACTTCTTCTGAGCACTTCGCCTCAGGCAGGCTGGCTGTAAAAATCTCCAAAGCATGGATGTCATCTTTGCCACTGAAGTTGCGCAGAATAGCCTGTGCAATGTCGTGTGGGGAAGGCTTTCTATTAGAAGCCTTTGCCGTGGCAAAGACCATTTTGATGAGGCTGTAGTAGTCACGAAGTCCGAAGAACTCCTTGTCTTGGCTCTTACACACCGTCTCATAGGCTCTGGCAAAGGAAGCAAAGTACCCCTGGATTCTGTCTTGAATGAGGCTGTCTGAAGAGCAGATCCCCTTGGCGCTCTCTATGAGCTCCTTCTGGCTGGGACTGCCACGTGACACAAAGATACCTCGGTTCATCTTGGCAGGGTCAAGAGCCCAGTTGGAAATGCCCACAAAACCAACTTTCTTGTGAGGGGCAGGATCATCTTCAATGCACCCATCTTCCAGCAGTGGGTGCAGGGCCTTCAGGGGCATTTTAGGTGAGTCTTCTGCCAGTCCAACCTCGTCTAGCACCACCACAGAGACATACTGCTGTAGGTCCCTCCCCTGCTGAAAGCGGGCACATTGCTTGAAGGTGCCGATGATACCTTGGGGGGTGGAATGTGGGCTGCACTGGAATGACACCAGATGGACCTGCTTCAGGTTCCGGAAGAGATCTGAGTAAGCAGCCTGGCCTTGCATGGCATCTGCCACAATGGTCTTGGCAAGAGATTTGGAGCTGCCAGGCTTCCCCACCAGAAAGAGAGGAATCTTAAGCTCAATGCAGATAACCATCATGAAGACATTCTCCTTCAAAGCCAAGTTCTTGGCAATAGTTGTTCTCAGAGGTACACCATTCAGAAAAAGATCCTGTGTTCGAGTTATTTCATCCAGAATAATCTTACTGTCATTATATGGTTCTCGAAAGAACCCACAAATGGCTTTGCGATACGAGTCTTTCTTTTCTAAAGAGGCGTGATAACACACGCCAACGGCCAGCACCAGGGACCAGAGGACTGGGTCTCTCTCAATGTGACTTGTGCCCGCGTTGGACTCACAGACCAAGGGATCCAGTTTTAATAAAAGCATCTCACTGTGGTCGTAAAACCATTTGAAAACTTTCATACAGCGTTCCACGTCCCTAAGGCTGACAAAGCTACACTCATTTTTTCTTTTCCTCATGAAACCCTGAGAGGCAGAAAGCACTTCTGTGATCACACAAGTCTCTTCTGGGTCTAGGTGGACAGAGTCAACCAGTCTGTGGACGATCTGCTGGATGTAGAGCTTCTCAGCAGTGTCATTCAGCTGTCCAAAGTCCCACACCAGAGGAATCAGGCTCGGGGGCAGAGCATGGACGCGATACACTAGCTGCCTCAGGGGGATGGAGCCCAGCCTGTCTGCCGTCTCCTCTGCCCGGACCCGGTAGCCCAGACCAGCAGACTCCAAACGACGGATTGCCTCCTCTGAGTGCTTCCGGTAGGGGTTGCAGGCGGCTATGACGTGCAAGCCAGAGTTCTTAGCCAGGGGCTGGCCATCCACCATGCGATCACACAGGACTTCTTTGATACAGCTTATGGCTTCTGTTGTATTGGCCTCATCAAAGAACAAAATGGTGTCCAGCTGGTGTTCCATCTTATTGATGAAAGCGATCTGCTCAGCCTCCTTGACCTTGGAGTAGATCGTGTCTGCAGTGGTTCCCCCGTGGACCTTGACCAACCTCAGAGTTCCTGCGAGAGTCCCCCCACGACGCAGGTCACTGAGGAATTTAATGAGCCTGGTTTTCCCACAGCCAGTTTCCCCCATGATGATAACTGGGATCCCGCACCGGAACCTCATTTCAATAGCAAGGATCTTAAGCATGTTGTCTGTTGTAAGCTCGTATGTTTCATCAGGGTCCATGGGCCACTGGATCCCTAAGGCCCGGCACAGCCTTTCAAGCTTCTCATGCCTGGGCAGTTTGTCATAGTCGACATTGAAGGGCACCCTCTGAAGCAGGAGCCCCTTGTACAGGTCCACGGTCATGATGTCTCTCTTGATCACCTTCCCGTCTAAGCGACTGACAGCATCAACATTGCCGTTTCTGTTGGGCTGCAGGTAGAAGCCTATGAATGTCATGGATGTGTGGTCACCATTGAAGAAAACGTATGGGTGGGGCTCTGACTCCCACCTCTTTCGGAGAGAGAAAGGGGCTAAATCTTCTTCCTTAACCCCATCCATGTTGACTGTGTGCTTCCCTGGGCTCTGGTCAGAGGTGTTAAGTGTTGGTGTAGCAAAATCTCTTGCCATAAAGATCATGAAAGTCACCACAAAGTTCTTGAAGCCCCTCAGGGTATCTCCGATAACAATGGGATCGCAGAAGGGAGAGGCCTCACAGTCTCTGAGCTGATAATTCAAGAACCGAGCAAAGTTCCGAAGCTCTGACCAGGACGGGTTGATCACCCCACAGTAAATCAGGAAATGTTGAAGGCATTCCTCCGGGGTGCCTTCAACGGAGCCTTCTTGGTACTGGAACATGTCTAGGTTCTGGTTTTCATGGAATCGTTTTAAATACTGGTAAGGTCTTTGGAAGGTTTCACTGCAGAATTCTGTGTGGTCCATCCCAGGCCCCGTGTAGCTCCTTTTAGGCGTCAGCTCCATTTCTATCACTTCTTTGGGAGGCCTGCAGGTGACTTTTGGGAAGACGTCAAGAAAACTGAACTGGGGGGCACGTGTACTCTGGAAACAAGAGACATGGATAAAATGGTTATAACTAAATTCCTAACAAATGCTTTGTTTGTTTCAGTCCTCCCTGTGATATATGCTGGCTAAGCCTTTATGAAAAAATTACCTAAAAATATGTAGCTTTCCATAGGCACCTTTTCTTTTTTAAATTTTAAGCACAGGATGGAGACTTTACTCCTTCATGTTTACATGGATGGAGCTAGAAAATATTCTTCTTAGCAAAGTATCTCAAGAATGGAAGAAAAAGTATCCAATGTATTCAACCCTATTATGAAACTAATTTTTAGCTATCACAGGAAAGCTATATCCCAATTTTAGCCTAAGAATATGGGGAAAGGGGAGAGGGAGGGGAGGGGAGGATGGGTGGAGGGAGGGTGATTGCTGGGATCATGCCTATGATTTATCCTATAAGGGTACATGTGAATCTTTCTAAATGTGGAATATAAATGTCTTAACACAACAACTATGAGAATGACATGAAGGCTATGTTGGCCAATTGGATAAAAGTATTTCAAATTGTATATGGAAACAACACACTGTACCCCATGAAAGTATCAATGTATACAACTATGATTTAATAAAAAAAATAATAAAAATAAAATAAATTTTAAGCACAGGTTATTTTCTACACATGAAGGGGTTGTGGAGGCTGAATGGTGGGAGCTGTACTCTAATGAAGGCATTTTCTAATCCAGTGTCCTGAAACTCTACCTCTCCATCAAACACAGATGCACACATGTGCACATGAGCATAAAACTCGCTTTTGCTAAGAAATTCATGACAAAAGTCTCATCCATCTTAACTGGCAATAAGAAAGATGTCTTCTTTCAGCAAATGAGTTTAATAAATTCAGAGCACAGCTGGGATTTAAACTGGACATCTGGTATTAAGCCTGAATTGAACAGACAAATTTAAGATACTGCTAATTAGTAGAAAGGTATCAATTTTTTTTGGAGATAGGGTCCTGCTCTGTCCCCTGGGCTAGAGTGCAATGGCATCATCATAGTTCACTGTAACCTCAAACTCCTGGGCTCAAGTGATCCTCTTGGCTCAGCCTTCTGAGTAGCTGGGACTGCGGGCATGTGCCACCACACTTGGCTTACTTTTGTATTTTTTATAGGGACAGAGTCTTGCTCTTGTTCAGACTGGTCATAAACTCCTGGCTTCACACAGTCTTCCCAACTTGGCCTCCCAAAATGGTAGGATTATAGGCATGAGCCACTGTGCTCAGCCAGAAAAGTATTTTTACTCCAAACATTATTTAAAAATAAGTTAAAAGATCACATTTTCTTTACTAACATTGCACTCAGCTGCTTTACTAAGGCAGAAGTGTGGAATTGCTAAAGCACATCTTTCCACTCTAATGAGATCTGAAGGAATTGAAGAGCCTCCCATGTCAGTGCAGACGCCCCAGCATACAGACCAGGGCAGATGCCCCAGCATATAGACCAGGGCAGATGCCCCAGCATACAGACCAGAGCAGGTCCTCAGCACAAAGCCTAGGGCAGATGTCCCAACACAGAGATCACTACAGATACCCCAGCACACAGACCAGGACAGACACCCCAGCATACAGACCAGGACAGACACCCCAGTACACAGCCAGGACAGACTCCTAGCATACAGACCGGTGCCGAAGACCTCCTTGGCCGTACTGAGTTCTCTTCCAGGATTTCAATGATATATAAATGGCATGGATTCCGAAGCCACATTTTCCCATTTATATCCATTAAGTACTGTAAAATGAGGAGTTTGAAAAGAAACTCCGAAATTCCAGTCTGCACCTGAGGACAGAATCACATGGGTTTGTAAATATGCAGTGATGAAACCCTTCCAGCCCTACGGAGCCTCTTCTGTTTCTTGTAGTGATCATTAACACGGGCATGTGCTGCAGTGTTTCAGGGAGTGGGTCACACACACAACAGCACAGCGGCCCCCTGAGACCACTATACTATATTGTTACTGGGCTTGTCTGCATTTAAACATGATTAGAGACAGTTTCCCACAGCGGTCAGTACAGTCACATGCCGTGCAGTTTGTAGCCAGGGAGCAGTCCAGGCCACACAGCCCAGGTGTGCAGAAGGCCAGACCTTCCAGGCCTGGGTCTATGCACGTGATGTGCACACAGCCATGAAATTGCCTAAGGACGCACTTCTCAGAACACACCCTTCCTGAGAAGAGAAAAAGGAGTGTACGTGCAGAAAGAAGAAAGGAGGCAAGTTGGAGTGTGGGAATTACGTCTGCGCCGATGCAGCCATGCAGCTGAAACTCAAGGGAACTTACTGAAGAGGTCACGTCCACATGGAATATTATGGGTTTCTTTTGATATCGTGTGGCCAGGAACGGCAAGAGGGAGCCCAGGACTTGGCTGTCATCCACCTGAGGGTCGATGAGTCGAATAGTTTTGAGAGGCACTTTTGTGCCATTTAAGGCCATCTTCAGTCTGCTGTGCAATCTCTTCACATAGAGAGACTTTCCTGCAACATTCAAAGATGGAAATTAGATCCTAAGGCTATAGCCAGAGCAAGAGAATCCAGAAAGATTTTTTAGAAGTTACCTCTCCTATGTAAAATTCAAAACTGAGGCAACATAACATCAGATTAAAGAATACATTTTCGAATCCTCAAATTTCCTAGCTGTCAACCGCTCACGATCCTTCCATTTCCCTGCTACTGACAGTATTCTGAGCGGTCACACGTCACTTAATGATGGCGCTATGTCCTGAGGAACACGTCACCAGGCGTTTAGGAGTTGGGTGAACATCACAGCACGTGCATATATAAGCCTCGGTCCAGCCTGCTGGGCACCCAGACTGCGTGGCAGAGCATGCCGCTCCTGGCCACACACCTGGGATTGCCCTGAAAGCCGCAGGCAACTGTCACACAGTGGTAAGTGTCTGTGTATCTATACACAGGAAAGGTACAGCAAAAATATGGCATTATAACCTCAGAGGACCACCGTCATAAAGGGTGTGCATTGTTGGCAGGATTGTTATTGTGCACGACCGTAAGAAGTGACAGCAAAGACACGCCTCGTGGAGGAGGGGGAAAGGGCACTTGTGTCCCAGCGAATGTGTGCTGACAACGCGTCAGCAGGACAGGAACTAGTTAGTGCTGCTTCCTGTGGAGCATGCTGGTAACTGGGGGCAGCCTACAGCCTCAGCCCCTCTCGAGGCGGAGTGTCTCACCTCCACTGCTCTCATCATGAGCATCAAGCCCAGGGAGGCCGGTGGGGCTTATGGGGGAAAAAGCAGACAGCAGAGACATTTTCTTAAAGGAGGAAGATTGCAGGGGGTATCAGGACCTGCCCTATTCAAGAAACCAGGTGAAAAAGGGTGTCCCATTTTGGTACAGAGGAGTCAGGCCCTCCCAGAGAGGGGCTTCCCCACCTGCAGAGGGGCTTACTCTGTGTTGCCCACTGACGGGGAGGGCAGGGTCATCAGGCAGCCCCAGGGACATGGGGACCCCCACACTCTCATTACCAACGCCAGCTCTCCCGGAGGCCACGATCCCAACACACATCCGGTCCCTGAACACAGCTGCTGCGGTGGGGACCTGGTAGTGACGTGCCAGGTAGGCCTGGATGGCTTCAAGGGGTGCCTGGGGGGTGACGAGGACCTTGTGCTGGCTGAAGGCAGAGGGCAGGTAGCAGTGCTCGCGTTCACAGTCGCACACCATCACCAGCTGGTAGTCCTCCCGGTGGCGCTGCGTGCACAGGCTCTGCAGGAGCACCTCCACCTGGCAGGCCGCGTCGTAGCCCAGCTGGTCTGCGAACAGCAGGCTGTAGACCTTGCGCCCTGGGGAGCTCGGGCTGAGGCAGCGGCGCAGGAGCAGCTCTACTTCCTCAAGGGTGGTCTCTGGGCCGCAGAGCAGCACCTCGTCATAGGTGGGGAGGGGCTGGGCTGGGGCCTGCATGTAGATGGCCAGAGCAGCCGGCAGCACCTCCGAGTGGCCGCAGATGACGAGGTTGGGCCGGCCAGCCTGCAAGCCTCGCGGGAGGCATCGCTCCACGGGGGGCCCGCCCATCCCTGCCAAGTGAGCTAGACAGTGGCCAAGGGCCTCCAGGTCCAGGCAGTTGGGCAAGAAGGCACTCAGGCACTCGATCGACTGTTCCATGATGACACTCAGCTGGTCCACCAGGCTGGCCTCAGGGAAGAGCCTGCACAGTAACCCTTCAATCACTTTCTTTGCACAGTGTCTAGTGGCCTTAGCAGCATGCCCCTCAGAGGCCCTGATGACATCCGCTGGGGTGCAGCAGCCTTTGATGAAGGACAGCATCATCAGGGCAGCTTCGCTGGGGGTCTCCTTCTTGAGCTCGGTGCTCAGGTAAACCAGCTGCTCTGCGGTATAGAAATTGAGGTAGAAGTGCTCCTCACGTTTCTTGGCCACAAATCTCTGCCAGCGGTCCAGAAAGTGCTCCATCTCCCTGCAGAGCCCTTCCAGCAGCTTAGTGATGTCCCCGCTGCCCGGCAGGTAGAGTGGCACCTCCAAGTCAAAGCCTATCAGGATGGAAATGTCGCTCCTGGGAGAGCAGCAGACATTGGCAGTCCAGGTCCTGAACAGCATGTTCCCCGCAGAGTAGAGATCGAGGAAGGCCTGGACCAGCCTCTGCACGCTGCAGAACACCTGGGGGAACAGAACCGTGAGGCGCCCAGTGCAGAGCTCTGCACAAGGGTGACACACTGGCTCACTGGGAGACCAAGCACATGGATAGCTGGCCTTCCTGACCTGTGTCATCAGCCTAATCAGAGGGGTACTCTTTAGAAATGTAGGGATGAAGGTTATCACTTGGAAAGTACAAACGAACTTTTAAGAAAGAACCCATAATAAAACTGACAGACTATTACACATACCATGTGCCTCTGTCAGTGTCTGCTGTTCTGATGGAGACTGTCCACCTAGACCCTGAGTGTCTGCTGTTCTGATGGAGACTGTCCACCTAGACCC